ATACACCGCTTTTTTTTTTTTTTTAGCTGGCTTATTATAGACTTATTACAAAATTGCCCAATCACTGAGCAGAATGCTAAGAATTTAAGTCTACGCGCCGCACGCGCTCGCCTTCCCAAATAACAAAAATAAAGTTTTGACGATCGCGCGTGCGAGATAAAATTTGTTGTATGCGTTTGCTTTAGAACCGTTAGTACTGCAGACGCTAGCACGTGCAGCGCGTGTAACTCGAAGCATGCTTCTTGGTGTTTGCGTAATTTAGCAAAAGGTCTTTGGGCCCTACAACCCGTAGTATAGGAAGTATTCCCTGGTGGCCATAGCTGTGTGCACGACTGCTGAGGGCGTGCTGATGGCGAGCTTCCACAGTTCTTTTGTAAAGTGCATTACCCTCAAGATTGCCAGTCTTAGCAGCCTATTAATGTGGCTTCGTTCAGAGCATGCGTTCTAGACATCACCCACAAGTATGGCGCCCAGTGAATACTCCTTATACGTAGCTTCAGCTAAAAGCTATCGTAGAGGTTGCTTGCTGATCAAGTAGAAGCCCCTCATCAGTCTTGCCTATGTCATGCAGTGCGGCTCAGGCTCCACTCTATTCCCCGCGAGATTCGATCGGCACGGTTCATGTGGTGAAAAGGAGAACTAAGCTTTGATTTACACTTATGCCCGTGCCAGACACACAACTCGAATGCCATTTACAACGAATGACATTTGTGTGATCGGCAAATCAGCTCGCAATCTGTTGCGCGTGGAACGCGCTACGCCCGGAGTGTCGCGCGCTGATCGGCCGTCCGCTCAAATGTCATTCGTTGTAAATGGCATTCGAGTTGCCCGTGTGGCACGGGTATTACTTGCATCAAAACGAATCCTACGAACGCGAGGCCGAAACCACGGAAGGCGTGAGTGCAGTGGTCGCGCGCTGGAATCACCTGCTAAGAGCTCGCGCTTGTACCTTTGCACATCCTTTGAGCCGGCAGTGTAACCTGCATTGTAGACAGAGGGCATCACCACTTGCCTCATAGAGAACCACGGATAAAGAAGCTCGCCCTCAGCACGTGCTCCGCAGTCGCGCCCACGGCTATGGCCACCAATTAATACCCCATTCACACGATCATAAAGGTACCTTTAGCTAAGGGACCTTTATGGCCAGCGGCGAATCCGTTCGTGATCATCCGCGCGTGGCATGTGCTCGCGATCCATCAGCGCGGGTTGATTCCCCGATTGGAAAGGGACCTATGTTAAAGGTACCTTTATGCTGGTCGTGTGAATAGGGTATTACACTTCCTGTAGAGACACAATACATCAAAGTGGCCACTATACCCGTTTAAAATTATGCAGCCTCCGGGGCATTTAAATATCGTTTATTTTAATGCGAAAACCTGCCAAGTGCTAAAAAAAAAGTAACTCGATGAAGTTATTTTAGAACTTTTTACTAAAGGCAAAGTTAGAAAGCGCACGCAGAATACCATTGCTGTGAGAAGAAAAAAAACTGATTATTGCGCGTGTTGAGTACTCACACTCGTCCCCGTCATTGCTTGTAAACAACGAAAAACATCAAGGACGCGCTTTCAGTTGCTCTGTCTCCTACACGATCCGGCTGTCTCTTACAGTGCCCTGACCTCTGTAGTCTGACTTCCTGTGCACACCCGAAGCTCTCACTAAAGTAGGGACGGAGGCTGGCGCTGAAGGTAGTAGGAGAACTAAAGAACATCACTGCAATTCTAAAGTTGTCACTCACCGAGCTTACCGATTTCCGAGTGCTCGTACTACTTCGGAACACTGCTAACGAGCTCGCGTTCTCGCAAGAGAAAGCCTAATTAGAAGCTAGGAGCCCTTGCTTTGGTCGAAGGACACGGCGCCAGACGTAAACACTCGGGCCCAGAGCAATCCCACACGAGTGCGCGTCACGCGCCCACAAACTGCTCCCGATCGGAGGGCGTGACCGGAGGCTGAGTCAGGAAACGGACCGCGCGTCCTTGGTCGGTTTCCTGTATCTGGATCGGCTTCTCTGGGGACTTTGCGACGGTGCCGCGAAAAGAGCCAATTTGCAGAACTTTAGATGCCGATAGATGGATTGATAGATAAATAAATAGAGGAGTGTGGCTGAATTCTTCGAATTGGGCGGGAGCTCGCGCCACCTAGCTAGTGCTTTAACTTTTAACAGTACCGATACGATATGGGCAGGCACTCGAGCGCATATGCTTGTTTTGCGTTCTAGGTTATTGACAATCAGTCGTGTTAACGTAGGTTAGGATTACCTAGAGTAATTTAAGTTGAGCTATTGAAGTGAGTGGGCAACGCTATGTATGATAAGATAGAATGACATGCGCTAATCCGGCTTGACCTAACCAGACCTTTTTCTCTTTTTCTTTTTTTAGTTGTATTTTATATATGACATACTTCGTGCATGTTGTCGCTGACGCTGACTGGAAACCGTCAAGTTGCAGCATTGCAAAAATTAATTCACTTCCCCTTTTCGCGTATTTAATGTACGGTATAAAACGAAATCTTTTCTCCTTATTTCTTTTTCTTCTTCTAACGTAACCAATAGACCAGCCAAACACAGCATTACTTGATCTGGCCTAAATTGAACTAACGCCGACACACATGCAGTCTGACCTGGCTCACCAAACAAATTCTGACCTAACAAACAAATGATAATAAAACCATAGAGACTTAGCCACGACAACCTAATCCAGAGTACAAACTCTTCTAAACCGCCAGACAAACAAACAGGGTCTTACGCACTGGCGTTGAAACAGGAAGAGGAGGGTACAACATCGACTTTTTTTCCGTAATGGCGGCACTTTCCTAGAGACAATGTACAACAAACGTAACACTTTATTCATTTTTATTTATTTTCACTAAAATGATAGCAGGTCAGCCGGTCCTAAGTTTACCGTGCGAGCAGAGGCAAGCTTGCATTGCCCGCTAGGTTGGCTTGTCTGCTCTCAAGACGAGGTACACAAAAAAGTTTGGGAAAGTTGTCATACGTCGCCATTTGTTTTGTCGCTTCCTCTCAAACACGCACGCCCCTTCCAAATGCGGTATGTCCACGAGTCGTTCCAACGGGGTCTAGCTGTCGGAGGTAGTGTTTTGGTGTAGCAAAGCCTCCATGCGGCACAAAAACACAACGGCGACGCGACAGATTGACGTCATCTCAACGTCATCGTTGCGGGTTGCGACCTCGTAATGCATCTGGTGAAACCAGAAATACACCGCCGTTTCATGACCTCCGAGCCAACAAACTCTCGGATTGAAACCACATTGGAGAGAAAAAAAAACAATGGCTTAAATCGGGATATAAGTCGCGATTGAAATCATTTCAATTTTCGTTTCGAAATTTTAATCAGACTCGCTCCACAGAAAGAAAAGATCAAAACGTATTTACCTTTAAGCCTCTTTTCAGTCCTTTTCATACTTCTTTGCTTGTGTACACCAAAACAAACACTGTATACGTTTTGTTTTGGTTGGTTCGTATCAAAAACGGGTCAAAAAAACCTTTAAATACATAATTAAAGAGCAGGACAGACTTAGTTCCAGATGACGATGATGGTTCTGGGGGTTAGTGGCGCGAGCTTTAGTTCAAGGGTGAAGTCAAGGTTAACTCCCCTAAACATGGTCTTTCTTGTATTATTGCTGAATTTCCTATTTATCGATGTTAACTCAGACTTTGCAGGAGCGTCCGTTGCGCGCCGTGGCGAAGGTCAGCTGCCAAACTCCAGGGGTGCGAACCAACCGCGCGTATTCGCACGACTCGCGTGTCGACACCTTATAACTCGCAAGTCCCCTTATTTAGAGTCATTTGATCTGTGCAACTTTGGTTTTGTCGAAAAAAAGAAAATGGAAATAACGACGAGGCGACATTTCGAAAGGACGCGACGGCCACGAAGACGGATATTAAAGTTGAGCGTCGGTTATGTTTCTCATGAAATGAAATGCTGCATTCGACGATTTGGTCGATAGATCAATATACAACTTCAAATTTTACGTCACACCTGCAAAGGAGTTTGTAAGCCTAAACAGCACTTCAGTGCTGATTTCTAAATTATTTCTGAAAGATGCCTCAGGTACGAATCACATATTGTACAGGGAAAAAAATTTGGCGCGAATAGTTACGAACGACTTCTGTTCCTCCACAAACTTTGCTTTCCATTTTCTAGGAATTGCTTTGAGTAGCGACATATCACTTATAATAAGGTGTAGAAGAAGTATATGTCAACTATACCTCTTGCAGCAGACAACGCGCTACGGAGCTCTCGCAGCACACAACGGGCTATACAGTACTTTCTTTCATAACACCCTGACTTTCACAAAAAACTATAATTGCTGACACGAAAAAAAAAAAAAAGGACGTCAATCACGATACTAACAACGTTTCAGATTTTACTCCTTTCATATTTTTGGTGCATAGAAGACGCACTTGTTTGACCTAGACCTAAGCATTTTGCCTTCATTGTTAAAATTCAATTAGCTAATCAATACCTCGAAAACTCAAAAAAAAAATTGAGAGTAAAAAAGAAGGTTGCGTGTGTTATTGTTTGTTGTCCTTTGCATGTGACAAAATCAGAATGGCTGGGTGAGCTTCCAGTTTTCCCGCCTCCAGCGCGAGCTTCCTATAGCTTGGAAAGCGCTTGGGCGTCTCGCGAGCATCGAGCGTGCACGCCCAGCCCAAGCACGACTGAAGGCAAAGAGTCCGTGCTGGGGGCCGGCTATTCAAAAGAGACCCCCTACTAGCCGTTCTGGTCCTGTCTGTGACTATAACAAAGTTTCATCTTTTACTATAGTTACGTGTGGAAAGAGGCACATGTTTCATGCGAAGCCTTTTTCTTTTCCGATTAAAGTTCGCTTTGTTCATCAGTTTGTTGAAAAAAAAAAAAAAAACATCTTGAGGAGCGTAAAAAAAGAGACACTCTTGCTATTGTGTATTGTTCTTTGTAGCGACATTCGATTCTAGAGACACGTTGTGCTCAGTACAACGAGCAAACTCGACGTTCTCGCAGGCGTTCCTGGTAGACGCTGCCCCTCACCACCAGCCATGACGGTGACCCGCGGGGTTCGGGACATCGACTGGGCGCGGTTCGGTCTTCATGACGGCTCTGAGGGAACCGCGGGAGGCCCCGACTCGGGCTCCCACCCGGACGTCCCGGGGCTGGCGGTCTCGGCCACAGCCGCCGGTCCCGACGGAGCCGAGCTCTTCCACGAGGACCTCGTAAGTGTCCCTAGTGGTTCTTCGCGATGCAAACCACAGTTTTTGACGACTGTCTTCAGGGCCGATTCGTCGATCAATGGGGGTATCCGTTCCGGCGGTTTAAAGTACACGAATGCGGTTCATTTCACTTTCATTTCGAGTCTCTTCGTTCTTTTTTTTTTCTTTTCTGCGTGCGGAATGGGACTTTAATAATTGAAGCGAGGATAGAATTACGGCAGCCATTTGTCTGCAACGCTAGGTACACTTAGTCTCTTGTCCCCAAGTAGTCGGTCACGTGAAGTAAAAATCACCCTTGCAGAGGTGAGTTAACCGCTTGGAAGAGATACCCGCATTGCTCAGCAAACCGGCCCAGATATCTGACTGCGCTGCGTGAACAAGGCGTTTTTTTTTTCTTCTTTATTTTGTACTTACTTATACAAAGTATAGTACCGCGTTCCCACTTTGAACCCTTAGCTTGCTGGTTCTTGTATACGTAGATTCTATCGGCGCAAATTGTTTTGATCGCAGCCTTCCAGCTGCAAAATAAAAATGTGCTTTTTTTTTTTGTACTCGGTATCCGGTCGTAGTATATCAGCTTTAAACGAGCTCACTTGTATTATTACTGTTTCCGCTCTAGCCGTGACGTACACCCACAAACAATATCGCTACGTCTGTGCTTCCAAAAATTTCCGTCTTCTTTAGATATCTAAAATACTTTAAAGATTGAAATCGAAACTCTGACTTCTTGCCCTAGTTTAAATCCCGGCGTCTTCAAAAACTGGCAGGATAGCCAAATAAGCATGGCGGGATGTTCACCCATCTCTTGTTCGCGGATAGTATGTCTCCCTATTTTATTTATTTCATTTCATGTACATTCATATTTAAAGGCCCGGTGACAGCATTACATAAAAATGGGAGGGGAAGCAATGGTATCGAATACTACAATAGTAAGACAGAAACAATAACAAAATATACAAAAATAAACGCAGCAGAAGTTATACATGTAATCAACGTAAATGGGCTTGAAGATTATTAAACTCCGCTGCATCAGTGACGCTAACTATGGAGGATTGCAGCTGGTTACATTCAACGATGGCATGAGGAAGGAATGATTCGTTGAACGCATTCGTTATACTGGAGATTCGTTTGATTGGACAAATGGAATCGTTGTCGGTATTTACCCAAAAACAAAAATGATGAGCAAAGCCATTTTTCGCTCATTAAGCGCAGAAAGAAGCTGCAAATTTGTGTGTTGAATGATCTTCACTGAGATAACAACGGTCTTTATGCACGTATTATATTAATAAGAGGTTCAAAGACCCCGGGGAAGGGAAAGGAAGGTGGAGGGGGGGGGGGGAATGTGGAGAGGGGAGAATGCAATAAAAAGTAGTAAACAGCATTTTTAAAAAAATAAAAAAAGCTGAATGCCCTTTGATTCAAACGAAGAATGTAGAAGATATGCATATTCACGATGACTAGGGCGAAACGGGCATGAAATGAAGTCCCTTCAAAAACATCAAACACTCAATCTGAAAACGCGCCCTGTAAAGCGTGCTTTGCCTGCAAAACACCGATGTACCGTGGATGAAGCACCTTTGTAGGCGCTCGAGGCAACGGTGTAGTCACATTAGAGAGTTTTAGGGAACCGTTTGTGCGCATCCGATACGGTACAATGTGCCCTCCGGTACGAACTGCGCATGTGCGACCTTCTGCGGTAGCGTAAACGGTTCCCTAAAACTCTCCATTGAAAAGAAAATGCGGTACGCTATTCCTAAACGTCATTATTTTTGCGTCCATAGACAGAAGAGATCAGTGGTCGAGTGTATTCACGCACGTCAGCTCGGTGCACGTGAAGCGAGAACTCTCGACGCAGAGCTCAGGGGGCCATGGCGCTTGTTCCCCTCTTTCGCAGGCGTGCGGTTGCGTTCATTCGGGCAATCGGAAAGCGTTAGCTTTGAGCCAGCGATGACCGTCGTGGCGCGTTTTCTTTCGCACGGCTCATCCCAGAGCGCCAAGAGCAAGCCCTGGTGGTCGACCAACTTCTTCGTGTCCGAACCAGTGCTGTTCGGCACCTGGGACGGCGTGTTCACCACCTGCATGATCCACCTGTTTGGTGTCATCGTCTTCCTCAGGTCCGGATGGATTGTGGTGAGTGGATGGCCCTACTCGATGTCTCAAGTTTCAGACAACTTGCATGCCCAAAGACAGGTGCAAGAGCCCATGCAGCTCTGCAAAATGATTTGTTAACTAAAAAAAAGATACAAAACAAAAATTATGAGGTATTCTACTCTGTGAAGGACCAGCGAAGCTGTTTAGCACATAACACAGACGTGACACAAAATTTTGAACAAAGGTACGTACACATTTATTGTCTTGATCGGTACTCATCATGACGAAATGTACGCGCACATATTTATTGTTTCTTGATCGGTGGTCATTATTTCGCGTGGACGACTATCGCCACACCGAGAAGCCGGAGGAAACTAGACACGCGCGACGGGACCGCCACCCCGGAAGAGCGGAAGGAAAGGAAATTAGACACGCAAGTGCTTGGAACGACGACAAAGAGAGGGCGGTGTGAGCGTGGACATGTTCGACGCGGGTCGTCCAGTGGCGAATCTTTGAGAAACCTTTATTATCTACCCGAGAATCTACTTATCTTGAAAATGGTGCCTATTGATGACTAATCTACTGAATAGACCTATTCTTAAATTACCCAAGCATCAAGGAGAATAGGCAATAATGTTTCACGCGCCGCACGTGCCGGCGTCTGCAGCAGTAACTGTTCTAAAAACAAAAAAAAAAGGCCTAAAACAAATATCATCTTGCACGCGCGTTCGTCAACGTTTTAGTTTAGTTATTTACTTCGAATCTTTTATACGGGGAAGGCGTGCGCGCGCGGCGCATGTGGCGGTGCGAGCGTAAAGTTTTTATTGACGCACATGAAAAATCCACGGAACCTTAGCCGTAAACAGCTTCGCTGTAAAACCGACACACTTATCGGTTTTACAGCGGTTTGAGGTTACAGCGGCTTGTCGGTTTGAGGTCTACCCGCCATCTTTCAATCAGAGCCAATCAGAGCGCGGCGTCTTTCTGACGTCACCGCAACTCCTGCGTAAGAAGCAGACGACTTGCTCTCGGCTTGTGTGCAGTGCATGGCTGACGGCGACGAGTCACCCATGGCTTGCACCGACGTCACATAAACTATTATTCGGCGCTCAACTTGGCCTGCTCCTTGCGCACCTCGTGCGTTTGTCTACCCGCTAAACGCGCCCATATGTGCTTTTGTTTCCCCCCCAATCTCAACCAATGGGGGCGCGCGCTTGGATGCCCGTTTTAGAGCGCAGCTCTTAGGGGCCCGTTCCCGGCTTGAGCGGCGTCGCCGTCGCCGTCGCCGTCGCCGTCGGCGTCGCCGTCGGCGTAACCAAGGTCATCCCAAGGTCACGTGACCCCTCCAGGTCACGTGACCCCTCCCAAGGTCATCTCAAGGTCACGTGACTCCCAAGGTCACGTGACCCCTCGAGGTCACGTGACCCCTCCCAAGGTCATCTCAAGGTCACGTGACCCCAAGACCCCACGTGACCCTTTGAAGGTCACGTGACCCCCAAGTCACGTGACCCCTCTGAGGTCACGTGACCCCCGAGGTCACGTGGTCTCCTCCCCAAGGTCACGTGACCCCCAAGGTCACGTGACCCCTCCCAAGGTCATCTCAAGGTCACGTGACCCCAAGGTGACCCCCCACGTGACCCCTCTGAGGTCACGTGACCCCCCGAGGTCACGTGACCCCCCTCCCCGAAGTCACGTGACACCCCCCCCCCCCCCCCCGAGGTCACGTGACCGCCCCCCCCCGGAGCATATTAAAGAATGAGGGGAGGAGGAGGGGTCTACCCTCCCCTCAGTACCCTTCACTCCTCCTCCTCAAGAGCTGCGCTCCAATTCGGCGTTACAGGGATTTGTAAACGGCTTTCACTTTTTTTTTTCTGTTGCTCTTTGATTGGCCTGTCCCTTCTTGCACTCTGAAGCGCCAAAGGCGCATTTTGGGACACTTGCTCGACGTATAGTGTGGCCTTTCAGCTGAGCGAATACCTTCTGCAGCGTACATTTTGCATCAATATTTTCTTGTTTTTCTTGGGAAGGGCAAGTACGAATGATCACCAGCGTGGTCCGGTGACGTCACGTGCGAGCGCTTAAAAGAAATCACGCACTTGCGGTTTTGATTAGTGGGGAAAGAGAGAGAGAGAAAATAAATAAAGGTTGTGGAGAGCCCGGCAGCCTTAAAAACGGTTCCGGATAATGGCGGAGAACGCCAGCTATCGGATAATAATGAAAACAGTTTTTTACAAAGACGAGTGCCCTAACCGCACCTATTGGCCTCGAGATCGACCTAGAGATCGCGCTACTGTCGCGCTATCATCATCATCAAAGGGGGGATAGAAGCATGGCCGTAGGCTTTCCACGTTCGCGCGCGAGACGGCCTAGATTCTTGCGTTTATTTCGTCGCAAGGTATCGGTGGGAAAACAATTTTATGGGAAAATGGTGCGGTACCGTTGGGTGCTTCAGTGAAGATCGAACCGTGTTACCAGCTTACGGCCTAAATTTAAATAATCGCTCGTGTGGATGCGTCGTCTGCTCCAGGCAGAGGTTGGGAACAAACAGACTTGAGCTCGTTACTTGAAAAATGTAATGGACTACAATTAAAAATTACAGAGCATCAAATGTAATGCATTACCGCTACAAATTACTTTCGCTGAAAAGTAACGGATTACTTGACTCGTTACGTTACAAATTACTATCACGTTACTTTTTCCGTGCACTAATCTAGAAAAGAATAGGAACAATTTTGATATTTTTTAAAGAATGTTCTACAACACTAGATTTCACTTCACATGCGCCCGTATTAGAATAGTCCTCGTAAAAGATTTAATATTGCATTTAAGAGAAAGTGTCGGTGCACTTCGTTCACCTGTAAGCTGACAAGGCGCCGAAAGCTGCAACCACTCCCGCTATCCCGCTAGCTTACGGCCTCCGGAAATGATCCCTAAAATTGAGCAGACAAAGCTAGCGGTGCGCATGATCAGTAGCAGCGTCTACCTCCACTACGACATTTGGAGCTAAAAAAACGATCTACGAAAGCTCCCTTTTGACTCGTGTGTTTCGCCTGTGATTCACAAGAAAAGAAAACTTGGTTCTAACGTTGCAGGATGCAGGTGTCGCAGCTTACCTTGATGTGTTTCATAGATTGATGTTCTTGTTAAAGACAACGCGTTTGCGTGTGTGTGTGTGTGTGTGTTTTGCAAGCAAAGTATGCACTGAATCTAGGTTTCCGTCCTTTTTAATGCCCTGATTTTTGAACATCTCATTGAGAGATGGCCATGGAGACGACGGGCACTCCATGACCGAAAACTCGACCAGTCAGTGAAAAAGTGGTAAATACGGGTTATCGATCATTCATCCATTTCTCACTTTCATACCAATATTCGTGGAGGCCAGGAGAGGCGAAGGAATAGAGAGAGAGAAAAGCGGTGGCCATCGGTCTCACAAAACAATGGAGGATCACACCACATTTACGCGTTATCTCTTTCTCTCTGTCAGTACTCCTAGATGCAGTGGCGTCACAAGGGGGGTGCGGAAGGGGGGGGGGGGGGGGGAGGCGGACCGCTCCGGGTGCAGCGCTCCGGTGGGTGTCGCGAGAGGCCACGGGGGGGGGGGGGGGGGAGGGGTGTCATTACGGGCCACCGTTCCGGGTGCCGCTGACCCTAGTGACGCCACTGCCTAAATGGTCTAAACCCCCCCCCCCCCCCCCACACACACACACACCTTTCTGTTGACAGTTGACTGTAAAGGGAGGAGTGGACTCGACCACCATGCCCAGACAAGTAAACAAACAAAAAAAGTATCACCCGTGCCCTCGAAGACGATGCCCTTAGCCTCGCACCGGGCCTCCCTCCGTGCCTCAAGAACGTGCGAGAGTACAGCAGCGCACATCAAAGATAAAGAGAATTGAACCCCCTCGCGCGAGGCTACATCATCTGTTACGCGAGTTGTGAACCTAGGAATCGAGGGGGTATGGACCCGCATTTGATGTTTGTGCAGGAGGCGGAAGACGTCGAAGAAGTTGAAAAGGGTGAGACGGTGTAAAAGATAAAAACAAATAAACACGAAGAGCTTTCTCCTGTCCGGGAGATAAGAAAAATATGATGGAAGGCGACGGAGAGCATACTCGGCGTTGCCTTACTTGATCTTTGTCTTTCGTATGTTTGTACATGCCTTGCCCCCGTTTTTCTAGTGATCGATCATACAAAAAATCGTGCTTTCTTTTCGGCTATTCTCCCCTTCCTGATGTTTTCTATTTTGTGGAAGTTGCTCTGTTTATGCTGCTGAATGTTCTACTCGTGTTGGTCCAGTTACTGTATCAATGCTCTTTTTTTAAAACAGTAACGAGTAATTAAACTAATCCGTTGCCAATATTTTGTAACGAAATTACATTACTAATTACTTCCGAAAAAAAGTTACGTGGCAATTACAAACATACTTTAGAAAGTAACGGATTACTTCCAAGCCTGGTTGGGAGGCATGGATCACCACGACGGATGCCTGTCTCCAGGAGACTGCACTCTTCATGGGAAATATCTGTTTCTTTTAAAATAGATGTATAAGTTCACCCACGCGGGAATTCAACAAAACAATGAATTCCAACCCGGATAGCATAATGCAGGTACTGTGGGCTGTGAAATCCCAGGTTCTATGCACTTTTTCTGTAACTTTTAGCTTTTGCAGTAATATAAATATTTCGCACGAAGACAACTAGTGCTGTATTGAAAATTATCGTTCTATTGAGTTCCGCTACAGCAAATGTTTCTCTTCTGTGCCATGGTGTGGGTAAGTTTTTCGTTGTCGGAACAATTCTAATACGTTGCGATGAAGAAAGAATGCCTTCTCTAGTTACGACCCGGAAATTGTTCGTTGGCAGGACAACTGAAACAAACTATTCTAATATATCTGCCGCGAGTGGAACAAACGAGTGTAACCGAGCAACGCAGTAGCGTGCGTGTTATTAGATGCTTTTCTCGGCAGTGCGGGTTCACCCGCTTCAATTATCTCGGTGAGGGACGCTGACGTCACGAGACTAATATAATAAATTTCTGGC